CCTACTGGGGATGTGCCTTGCAACCCAGGTACATGCCCTTGACCGGAATCGAACCTGGGACCCTTCAGTCCGAAGGCTGATGCTCTATCCGCTGAGCCAAACCAGCTAGGGCCAGAGATCTTTTAAGCTGGGGAGCGACATGATTTAGTGTTGTTGTTTTTTATAAAGAAAATTGGTGGCTTTAGAGTTAGAATGGACCGCAGGAGAGTGAGGCCCCAGGTCACTCCTGAGCTAAATCTAGTCAGGTAGCCACTGGCCACGTGTGCTTGGGCAGCACTTGAAATATGGCTAGTCCACATTCACAACAGTAAAATACACACTAGACTTAAAAGGCTTAGTATGAAAAAATAATTAAAATATCTCAATAATTTGTTTTATATTGATTACATGTTGAAATAGTATTTTGACTATATTAAGTGAAATATATTATTAAAATTAATTTCATGTGGTTTTTTTTCAGTGGGACTATAAGAAATATTATATACATATACTAGTATATATATACACGGCTTGCAGTATATTTCTGTTGGATAAGCGCAGCTCTGGAATGAGGTGATATGAAAGCAATCCCAAAGGTCTTCCCAGAACTTTCCTCCCAGAAAGCTATGGAATTGCCAAATTTTAACTCTATCCAGGTCCATCTTATTCAAAAATAAACAAAAACAAAAAACTGAGGCCCAGGGAGGAGCAGGGGTTTGTCCAAGAATACACAGCTGTGAAAAGCCTGAGGCAGGACTAGAACCCAGTCTCATTTCCCTTGCAGGCCAGGAGCCCATTCTCCCCTGGGAAGAACAGTTTTGAAAGGGGGTTTGCTCTGGTGCCTCATTGGCTGGGCATGTTTGGGTGGCTGAGATGGTTGGGAAGGGGCTGCTTCAGAAGCTCCACACTCAGTAGGAGGCGCAATAGCCTGGGATGAGGGTGTGGTGCTGCTAAGTAGCTGTTCAGTCTTGGACAAGTCCCTTCCTTTTTCTTTTCTTTTTTTTTTTTAAAATATATTTTATTGATTTTTTTACAGAGAGGAAGGGAGAGAGATAGAGAGTTAGAAACATCGATGGGAGAGAAACATCGATCGGCCGCCTCCTGCACATCTCCCACTGGGGATGTGCCCGCAACCCAGGTACATGCCCTTGACCGGAATCAAACCTGGGACCTTTCAGTCCGCAGGCCGATGCTCTATCCACTGAGCCAAACCGGTTTCGGCCCTTCCTTTTTCTGAGCCTCAATTTAATCTGCTGTCAGATGAGGGGTGGATCTGAAGATTTCTGAGAACTCTCAGCAATGGCAATTTATTTTTTTCTTCATAATTAAAATGTTACGGGATTTTTATTTTATTTTTTTAAAAAATATATATATTTTATTGATTTTTTTACAGATAGGAAGGGAGAGGGATAGAGAGTTAGAAACATCAATCAGCTGCCTCCTGCACACCTCCCACTGGGGAAGTGCCCACAACCAAGGTACATGCCCTTGACTGGAATCGAACCAGGGACCCTCCAGTCCGCAGGCCAATGCTCTATCCACCGAGCCAAACCAGTTAGGGCAGATTTTTTTAATTTAAAAAATGTTTTTATTGATTTTTGAGAGAGAGGGAGAAGGAGAGTAAGAGAGAAACATTGATGTGAGAGAGATAAATCAATTGGCTGCCTCCTGAATTTACCCCTGACACACTCCGACCAGGGATTGAGCCCAAAACCTTGGCATGTGCCCTTATTACAGGATTCCCGGGCAGAAGGAATAGGAAATCTGAGACAGGAAAGTTAAAACAAGGCCAAACGGTGTGGGCAATTTGCAGCCAGCTTGTAACTAACAAGCCATTATCTTCCCCAGCCAAGGACATAGAACAAATGGTTAAAAAACCTCCATAATGAGAGAATGCAGAAAGGGAGGGGGAAAGGGGAAAGAACAAAAAAGGGGTAGTTTTTAGGGCCTTCTAAGCAGAGAAGCCAGCAGTTTCAAGGCTTGGCAAGATAAAGTTACCAGGTCCTTTTCATGAATTCTGGGATGACCACAACAAAATTAAAAAAGGAACCTTGAGCCCTGGCTGGTTTGGCTCAGTGGATAGAGTGTTGGCCTGCAGACTGAAGGGTCCCGGGTTCGATTCCAGTCAAGGGCACATGCCTGAGTTTCGGGCTCGATCCCCAGTCGGGGGCGTGCAGGAGGCAGCTGATCGATGGTCCTCTCTCATCACTGATGTTTCTATCTCTCTCTCCCTCTCCTTTCCTCTCTGAAATCAATAAAAACTTATTTTTTTAAAAAAAGGAACCTTGAGAATTAGTCTATACCAAAATAGTCAGCAGAGAAATTTTGAAGCCTATAGCCAGGAGGGTATATAACGCCTCAGACCCCCACCCAACTTGCTCTTCAGATTAGCTGAGAGCCTGTCTGTGTTTCATAAGTCAGATATATAGGTTTGCTTGCTTTGCTTTTGCTTTTTTCAACAGAAATGCATGCTTTAATAAATTGGCTTTTCACAACTCAGTCAAGGTCTCTTGTATAAATTCATTTATATGAGAAGACAAGGATCAGGGGGCTGTCCTGTCCGATATCACCTCTTTCATGTCGGTGAGAGGTCCCTATAACACTCTGACTTGGAATCGAACTGCGACCTTTTTAGTGCATGGAAAGATGCTCAACCAACTGAGCCACACTGGCCAAAACTTACTGGTTTCAAGCAGTGACATTTTATGTCTTTGACAAACTCACTGATGAATTGTTTCCTGCCCAACCTTTTAGTCTATGGTGGTTTCTGCCTCTTTATAGAGCAGGGACTCATTCATATCAAGTCCGTAAGCACATATCAGCTCCTATAAGGCAGGTACATGATGAGAGTTGCCTTTTAGACAGATAACTGGTGGCACCAATGGCGTGTGGAAGCCACTGATGATACTTTTGGGTGCTTAGTTGCCCAGGGCCAAAATCACTTATTTCTGTCTTTCTTTCAAGGCTCTTCTAAATCTGTTAGCTTATGGCTGTTTTAGCACTTGTAGCTGTAGGTCCAAAGAACAAAAGCAGAATGAGTGGAGGAATGTTTTCCAGAAGAAAGATAAGGAGGGGGATGCAGAGTGAATAGTTTCCATCCCATCTTGTTCTACTTGATCTGTAGGCAGGGAGGGGTAAGGGGCTGATTTTTATCATTTTAAGTGGAATTTATCTGGGTAGCCGACCAGGCACACAGGCCCAGTCTAAGAATAGCCCTAAGCAGGCACTGGCCCTCTCTGGTGTGTGTCTCATACAGCTGAGCTGGACCTGTGTGGGGAAGGAGTCCCACGAGAGGGTCCCCAGGAGTGGCTGCCTGGGAAGGAAGTGGCAGGAGCCATTGCTTTCAGATTCACTGAGCTACACCAAAGTAGAGACTGACTTCTAAAGCCCTGCAGGCTAGGAAGGGATTCGGGGGGGGGGGGGGGGGGGAAGAGGGGGTAGTGGGAGAGAAGTGACTTGGTGTGTGTGTTTGTTTTAATCCTTCCCTAATATTATTGATGTTGACCGACCGTGTTCCCCTTCACATTGGGAGTCCTTCACATGAGCTGTTAGTCCTGTCACCGTGGCCCCAGTGGCCTTTGGAGGCTCCTGTACTTTCTTGTGTGATAAGGGATGTTCTTTGCTGCCTGCCTCTGAGATAGACACAGCCTTTCTTCTGGAGCTCTGGTTTCCATTCCAGATGGACTCGCAGTATCACTGCGTGCAGTCTCGCTCTCCACCACCCACAGGCATGCAGGCCTGGTCTTCTGGCAGGAAATGCTTTGCGAGGTTAATTGATATGATTGGAATGAAGGTGCCCCAAGCAGGCCTGGAGAGGCCTGTTGTGCTTGGGGAATGGCTTTGGGGTCCCTGTCCATCAACATGTTTGTCTTCTTGTACTCTCTCTCTGCTATTGGTTTGTTTTGTTTTGTTTTTCTCTCTGCTCTTTGGTCTTTTTGGATAGCCCTGCTTGCAAACCCAAGATGTTGGCTGATGAATACCTCCACTCGGTACCTTTAGGCCTCCCAACATCCAGCCCTTTGGTGCTCATCAGTGGTGACACCATAACTCTCAATTCTGCTTTGCTTCCCATAAACTCAATGGCAAGTCTGTTTCTCACTATAAGAGCTGTTTCTTTTCAACCATATTGTTACTCTCCAGTCTTGGAGAATCTGCCTGTTTTCCTTATCATGTCTTTTATAAATGACTAGAGGCCTGGTGCACAAATTCGTGCACAGGTGGGGTCCCTCTGGGTGGCCTGCAGGGATCGGGCCAAAACCTGCAGTCCAACACCACCTGCAGCTCCCACCTGCCACTCCTGCTCATCCCAGCCCCACTGTGCCTGCCAATCGGGAGAGGCTTGTGCTGCCACAGCAGCACTCGCCAGTCATGAGCCCTGTGTCTGGTGCCCTCCCAAGGGGAGTGGCCTGCGGGATTGGGCTGAAATCAGCTCTCCCACATCCCCCGAGGGATCCTGGATTGCAAGAGGGTGCAGGCCAGGCTGAGGGACCCCACCAGTGCACAATTGGGCCAGGGAGGAACCACAGGAGGGCTCCAGGGCATGTCCGGCCCATCTCGCTCAGTCCCGATTGGCTGGACCCCAGCAGCAAGCTAACCTACTGGTCGGAGCATCTGCCCCCTGGTGGTCAGTGTATGTCATAGCGAGCGGTTGAGCAGCCTTAGCATATCAGCATATTACGCTTTGATTGTTCGTTTGGTTGTTCTGCCATTCGGTCTATTTGCATATTACCCTTTTATTATATAGGATTGAATCTTGATCTGGGGCAGAAAATACATGAATCCTTTGTCATACAAAAAATCACAGGTGCCTCTAAAGATCATGGGGCCATGATGATGGGACATATGAACTAACATGAAGGTTCCCAATGGTGGAGTCAATGTTTTAATATGTCTCCTGGGTTCAAGGGCTTATAAAAAAATTTTATTGGCTCAGAGTAGGGTCTGCACTCTTTACTTGAACCTCAAGAGCAGGTTCTTAGGCTTAATTCCTTGCTAATCATCTTCTTCCCATTGCAGGAACAACACAATGGAGCTGGAGTGGTGGGAGTGCCCATGAGGTGATTTACCTGGGGTTGCCCTTCTGCAGATGGCCCTGGGTGTGTCCATCTGAGATGTCTCAGAAGGTATTGTGTGCTGGCCAGTAGAGTGAAACAACAAAGAGATCCTTTGGTGGCAACTGAAGAACAGTAGCATTGTAATCACCAGGGACCAGCAGGATGCCAGCTTCTTGGACCTAACCTGCCTTCATGGATAGTCAGTCAGTGTCACTCAAACTAGGTAATTTGAGGAGGTTTAATAAAGAGACAATTTATGAAGGTGTGAGCTAGAGGTAGGAAAACCACAAGGGAAACCTTGGTACTTGGGGCAGACCAGGCCGGAAGGAACAAGGGGAGTGTGGTTACTGGGATTCAGGGTTGGGGGGAGGAAAGGAGAGAGGGAGGGAGGGAGAGAGGGAAAGAGCACGAATTTGTGGAGAGGCACCATATGGAGCTGCCACCATATGGCTGGCACAGGGAGGGAATAGGAAGTAGAAACTCATGCTCCGCTGACCTTCCGCCCTCTGCTCTCCTGCCCAGCTCCCTGGTGCCCTAATCCAGCTGGAGGACAAAGGACAAGGCAGCCCATTGATGCTGCCTTATAGTCCAACTTCCTGGGGCACAGAGCAGGCTGGAAAAGGGTGGAGAGTGAATCTTAAGAGGCAACAGAAGATTCCAGCACAGTGGATTAGAGGAAAAATTGGGAGGGTGTGTGTGAAAGCATTCGCAAGCAAACCCTAGTTCTGAGCAGATCCACCCAGCGCAGGTAGTGTGTTGAGGCCTTCTTCTTGCTTTGGGTGAGGATTGTGACTTGTGTCCACAGTCTCCTTATGGTTAATGTGACTCATCAAGGTCCTCAGTCCCCAAATGTTCTTCCCCACCCTCAGACCCCAAATACCTCTTCTACTCACTAGTTGATGCCTGATATTCTCTCATTTTAACTTTTCTCTTTGAACGAAAAGGTTCTGCTAACTGTAAACTGTCTTTGGCATTCTCTACAAGCAAGGAAGAAAGGAAACGAACACTTCCCGAGGCCCAGCTCTGTGCCTGCACCATGAGCAAGAGGATTGAATGGTAAAAAAATCACTTAAATCGCACCACAATCTAGACGAGAATTACTCTCTGCATTTCACATAAGAGGAAAATGAAGCAGGGGAACGGGGGAATTAGCCTGCCCATATTCAGAATCCCACTTTAAATATTTTTATAACCTACTTAGTCCAAGGCCCATACTTCCTCACCCCAGTGATTCCCAAACTTCAGAGTGCTTCAAGTTAGCTGAGGAGCTTGTGAACTAGACGGGATCTTTATCTGAGAGCAGCTTTTAATGTGAGAAGAGGGAGTGGGGGTGGGGGGAGTCGTCCCAAGGAGAGAAAAGGATACAGTGGGGGCAAGGATGGTCAGTCAATCTGCTTGGGCTGCTATAACAAAAGCCCACAGACTGGCGGCTTATACAACAGACATTGATTTCTCAGTTCCGGAGGTGGGGAAGTTCAAGATCAAGTTGCTTGCAGATTTGTTTCCTGGTGAGGACCCTCTTCTTGGGTTGCAAAGGGCCACCTTCTTGCTGTGTCCTCTCGTGGCAGAAGGAGAGGGCTCTGATCTCCTTTTCTTATAAGGACACCAACCCTAGCATGGGGGCCCCACCCTCACAACCTCCTCTAAACTTAATTACCTCCCAAAGGCCCCACTTCTAAATGCCATCCTATTGGGAGTTACCATCACAGGTGAATTTTGGGGCGGACTCAAAGGTTCAGTCCATAGCAGATAGAAACCTTGAAGACTCTTGCCAAGGGTGGGCCCACCCTGTTCTTCTGGGTGATGACATTGCCCTCTCCTACCCCCCAGAAAGGGCTCCAATATAACTGCCTTCTCTTTCCCCTCCCCTGACTCCAACTGAACCCCAGCATTCAGTCTTCTAGCCTTACCGGATCTCACAGAAAGCATGAATGCTCTCAATAGTCACATATTTGAACTCAAAGCTGATGGTGTAGTGTTAATTCCATGGGTTTTATAGACAAAATGTCCTCGGTTCAAAATCTGCTTATGATCTATGTGACTCTTGATAAGCACTCTGAAATTCAATTTTTGTTATCTGTAAAATGGAGTAACACTATCTATAATAATAAAAGTGTAATATGCTAATTAGACCAGACGTCCTTCTGGATGACCTTCTGGACGAAGCCAAGGCTGCAAGGGAAGCCGGTGTCCTGGGTGTCCGAGGGAAGCTGGTGCTGGCAGCTGGGGGAAGGAAAGCCTACTCTTGCATGAATTTTGTGCATCGGGCCTCTAGTTTACCTATAAAACTTATAGCACAGTGTTAGGGACCTGATGAACTTACAGTGAATGTAAAGAATTGTCTAGAAACTCACCTCCTGATTCCCAGGCTAGACTTCTGCATGTGACATTCTATTTCCTTTATTTGAGGCACAAAATGTGACATTTATTAAGTATTCCTGCAAGTAGGAACTGCACATAGAGGGCCTGCAATCCTACCCTCTGGGTCAGAGGGTTGACTTGTACACATGAGAAAACATACACACAAAAGAGGAAAGACATGGGGGTGTGATGTGAAGGGGGTGGGGGGGGTGGGCCTAGGATTTACTCTTCTGAACCACCCTAGAGTGTGGGAAGAGCTAGGGCAGTGGTTCTCAACCTGTGGGTCACGACCTCTTTGGGGGTCGAACGACCCTTTCACAGGGGTCGCCTAAGACCATTGGAAAACACATATATAATTACATATTGTTTTTGTGATTAATCACTATGCCTTAATTATGTTCAATTTGTAACAATGAAAATACATCCTGCATATCAGATATTTACATTACGATTCATAACAGTAGGAAAATTACAGTTATGAAGTAGCAACGAAAATAATTTCATGGTTGGGGGTCACCACAACATGAGGAACTGTATTAAAGGGTCGCGGCATTAGGAAGGTTGAGAACCACTGTGCTAGGGGAACCCTAAGATTCTCCCATGGGGATGAGAGCTTCATGTGGGGCTGTTCGTCAACCTGTTAGCTACTGGGCTGGAGTGCCCTCTAGTGGTCCTCTCACTAAGTCTGTAGGTTTTGCTTTGTAAATTTTTCTTCTTTAAATGTTTTTGTTGATTTCAGAGAGAGAAAGGGAGAGGGAGAGAGATAGAAACATCACTGATGAGAGAGAATCACTGATTGGCCGTCTCCTGCATGTCCTGGTACTGGGAATCAAACGTGAAACCCGGGCATGTGTCCTGACCTCCTGGTTCATTGGTCGATGCTCAACCGCTGATCCACACTGGCCAGGCAATTTTTGTTCCTTTTTTTTTTTTTTTTAAATATATATTTTATTGATTTTTTACAGAGAGGAAGGGAGAGGGATAGAGAGCTAGAAACATCGATGAGAGAGAAACATCGATCAGCTGCCTCGTGTGCACCTCCCACCGGGGATGTGCCCGCAACTAAGGTACATGCCCTTGACTGGAATCGAACCTGGGACCCTCAGTCCTCAAGCCGACGCTCTATCCACTGAGCCAAACCAGTCAGGGCTTTTGTTCCTTTTTAATAAGTTCTTTTGACAGTCTGTCACTCAAAGTTTTACTGAGAGTTTCTTGCCAGGGGATATTCTAGGCACTGGGGATATAGCGGTATTGAAAATTCCTGCAATGTTCTTTCTTTAAACTAATTCAATACCTGGTTAGTAACTTATATTTGGATCCCTGAAGCATTTCATTTACCCCATCTTATGTATTGCTAAAGTGAATTTTTCAAAATTAGCCCTAGCTGGTTTGGCTCAGGGGATAGAGCGTCAGCCTACGGACTGAAGGGTCCCGGGTTCCATTCTAGTCAAGGGCACATGCCCAGGTTGTGGGCTCGATGCCCCAGTAGGGGGAGTGCAGGAGGCAGCCAATCAATGATTCTCTCATTGATATTTCTGTCTTTCTCCCTCTCCCTTCCTCTCTGAAATCTAAAAATGTATTTTAAAAAACCACACACAAAAAAACCCCAAAAACATGCACAAGGTTTGCATGCTGAAAATTACAAAATGCTGATGAAACAAACGAAAAAACCACACCTGAATAAATGGAGAGATACATTATGGGCATGGATTGGAAGATTCGACATGGCAGAAATGTCAATTCTTTTCAAATTCATTTATAGATTTAATATAATTTCTATCAAAATCCCAGCAAGGTATTTTTGTAGACATAGACACACTTATTCTAAGATTTAGATAGAAGAGCACAGGGTCTAGAATAATTACAACAATCTTGAAAGAAGAAAAAGGAACAGAAGAATTATTTGACCTTATATTAAAACTAGTGGCCTGGTGCACAGACTCGTGCACATTGAAAGGAAATTAATTAGAAGGTGGCCAATGGGGCGGGACTGGGCAAGATGGGCTGGACATGCCCTGGAGCCAACCTCCCACGGTCCCTCCCTGGCTGGCAGCACCAGGGCTCGAAGGGCATCTGCAGAGTGAGTGGGGTCCCTCTGGCAGGTGGGGTCCCTCGGCCTGCAGCAATCTGACATCCCCTGAGGGGTCCCAGAGTGTGAGAGGGCACTCTGCAAAGTTGCTGTCGCTCAGAAGCTCCTACGTTGAATGTCTGCCCCCTGGTGGTCAGTGCACATCATAGCTACTGGCTGGTCAGCTGGTTGCTTAGGCTTTTACTAGTATATCTATACAAGAGGCCTGGTGCATGACATGCACTATGGCAGGGAGGTGGGGACGTTGGGGAGGTGGGGTGTCCCTCAGCCTGGCCTGTGCCCTCTCACAGTCTGAGAACCCTCAGGGGATATCCACCTGCTGGCTTAAGCCCGCTCCCTGCAGTCGGACATCCCCCAAGGGGTCCTTAGCACTGCGGTGGAGGCAGGAGGGGCTCCTGTCACCGCCGCTGCGCTCGCCAGCCGTGAGCCTGGCTTCTGGCTGAGCAGTGCTCCCCCTGTGGGAGTGCACTGACCACCAGGGGGCAGCTCCTACATTGAGCATCTGCCCCCTGGTGGTCAGTGAGCGTCATAGCAACCGGTTGTTCTGCCATTTGGTCGATTTGCTTATTAAGGTTTTATTATATAGGATATATAGAAGCCTAAGTGATCATTATGACTGGTCAGTCACTATGATGATGCACTGACCACCAGGGGCAGATGCTCAATGCAGGAGCTGCCCCCTGGTGGTCAGTGCACTCCCACAGCCAACCTCCCGTGGTTCCTCCCCCTGGCCGACTGGCCCTGATCAGCACCAATCGCAGGCCAGGCCGAGGGACCCCACCTGTGCACGAATTCGTGCATCAGGCCTCTAGTATATAGATAAAACAGGAGACCAGAATGAAAGAAAAGGGGGATCAAACCCTGGTCGGCCCTTTCCTGAGAGAGTAGAGATGGAACCTCAGAAGGCTTCTCTTCAGCTGATAGCTGAAGCAATGATGATCACGGGGACACTAGAAGGCCATAGGGGACACGGGAAGTCCTACTTCCCAGAGAAAACTCCCAGTCCTCTTTGAACTCCTTCATGAATAGCAGGGACTTTAGTGAGAGGCTTATGTGGTGCTTGGGAGGGGGAATCTGAAATGCTGCTGGTTTCTTGGGGTGTCTCATGGGGGAGTCACAGGTTCTTTTTTTTTTTTTTTTTTTTTTTTTTAAATATATTTTATTGATTTTTTTACAGAGAGAAAGGGAGAGAGATAGAGAGAGTTAGAAACATCGATGAGAGAGAAACATCGATCAGCTGCCTCCTGCACATCTCCCACTGGGGATGTGCCCGCAACCCAGGTACATGCCCTTGACCGGAATCGAACCTGGGACCTTTCAGTCCGCAGGCCGACGCTCTATACAGGTTCTAATTCTTTCTGCAGGTGCATCCATAATTTGAAGGAAGACTGGTATTTTCTTGTTCCTGGTTAATAGTTGTTTGCTAGACCTGATCCTGAACATACTGTTTGCTGGTTTGCCTTCTGTGAACTCTCACTTTAATAGGAGAAAGAAGAGGCATAGAGTCTGTTTCAAGATTAAGTTGAGAGGCAGGACTGAAAATTTCCCATTTTTTCATTCCAGGCTCTATTCTGTTGTCTCTCTTTTTAAAAAAATATATTTTATTGACTTTTTACAAAGAGGAAGGGAGAGGGATAGAGAGTTAGAAACATCAATGAGAGAGAAACATTGATCAGCTGCCTCCTGCACACCCCCTACTGGGGATGTGCCCACAACCAAGATACGTGCCCCTGACCGGAACCAAACCCGGGACCCTTCAGTCTGCAGGCCGACACTCCATCCACTGAGCCAAACCGGCCAGGCTCTGTTGTCTCTTTAGTAACTTTTAACATACTTGGTTTTGTAGTGTCTTTCAGATTATTCTGTCATTTCTAATATTTGGGATGCCAATTATCCAATTCCATGTGTCTACTCAGCATTCTTCAGGTGGTTCATTTTTGTTTTTTGTGGTTTCTAGTTTTTATTGTCCTCATTTCCAGCTAGGATTCTTCTATTTTCAGTGACAGTGTTCTAGAAGTAAAGCCACTTTGTATTTGCTTTTGCTGGAGCCCTAGGGTTGAACAGAGCCTAGATAAACTTTTATGTTAATTTCTTGGTCTAGAATTTTCATTATCATGGGGCAGGTAGTACAAATTTAGGTCCACACAGCATAAACTTGATTTGGTAATTTCTTATAGAAGAGTTTCCCGCTGCTGCCCCCCGCCCCCCTAACTCCCATCTTGAGTTCTGAGACACAGAAATCTTGCTTTCTGTTTCTCTGTTCTGCTGGGAAGGGTTTTTTGAGTCCATTTTGGGCAGCTTTACACAAGGGTCTTAGTTTCAGCCGGCACCCGAGCCCAGTTCCCACCCCCTCCCTGACTGCCACATCAGGCTCATGTGACAGCTCTCTGCCTGTGAGTTCCCTCTTTGGTTCTAAAACATGATGATTTCTCTTTCCCTTCCCCCCTTTTTTTTAACCATGTATATGTATATGTATATGTATATGTATATGTATATGTATATGTATATGTCTTATCTATCTATCTATCTATCTATCTATCTATCTATCTATCTATCATCTATCTATAGTGATATGGTTTACCCACATTTATGTATTTGTAGGGTCAAGGGACACATTCCCATTAGCTCAGTCCTGCATGCTGTAGGAACCTCTTGTCCTCTGAGGAATTTATTTAACAAAATAACTTAAAGAATATTCACAATATGTCTTGGGGGAAATATAAAATCATCCCACGATTCTTTTTAAAAAATATATATTTTTATTGATTTCAGAGAGGAAGGTAGAGGGGGAGAGAGAGATAGAAACATCAATGATGAGAGAGAATTATTGATCAGCTGCCTCTTGCATGCCCCACACTGGGATCAAGCCCGCAACCCAGGCATGTGCCCTGACCGGGGAATCGAAACATGACATCCTGGGTCATACATAGGTCTATGCTCAACCACTGAGCCACACCAGCTGGGCTGTATTCCTAGTTTTAAGGCATGTATTCAATAATCTACAATAACATGGGGCTTAGTGAGGGCATTATTGTGTCTTCTACTTTTATGCATATCTCTCAAGGCCCAGGAAGGTGTAGCTAGTGGGTATTTGGTTATTTTGCAGACAGATCAGATGAATATCCTTTGTCCTACTCTTTTTTTTCTTTTTTATTGAATTTATTGGGGTGACACTGGTTAACAAAATTATATAGGTTTCAGGTGCACCATTCTACAACACGTCACCTGCACACTGTATTGTGTGTTCACCTCCCCAACTCAAGTCTCTGTCTTTGTCCTACTTTTCTCAGGGCCTCCTGGTTTCCACCGCCATCTTGTCTCCAGAAGGCATCAGCATCTCAGGATCCAGTTCAAGAACCCAGAAGCTTCATCTCTTCCCAGGACCAGCTGCTGAGCCCAATACCCAGAGCTGGGCAGGAAGAGCCCAGGCCCTTGAATAGCGATGACATAAGTTAGCCCTCCTTCCCCCAGCCAAGCTCTGCTTTGGAACCCGTGAGGTGACCAGGCCCCCAGTCCTGCTGGCATTTCCTCTTGTATTCAGTGGCTCATTAAGGGGTGGAGGGCTTGGGTGGGGGCCAGGAGAAAAGGGAACAGCTATTGGAATGAAAGGCAGGCGCCAGTGACTCTTTGGTTTCCAGGCTGGAGGCATTTGTAGAGAGGCAGCACTTCATTTTCAAATTGGGAGGTGGAAGAGGTCATAGCAGGATGACATTGGAGGGACTTCCTTCCTGCAGCCTTTGGAGAGGACCCCAGACCCTAGAGCGGCTAAAAAGACAACCTCCTACCCTGTGTTGTATGCGGTTCCCCCATTCCATGGGTCCTATTATATTTCCCCAGCGATCACAGATGGTGTCTGCATACTCTCCCTGCTCCCTGTAAGCCCAGGAATTCCTTACTCCCGCCACACCATCTGGAATGCCTTCCTGGCTACTGGGACTGCCTTTGGTCTTAAATGGCATCATGACACTGGAATTGCTTTCTAATCTGGGGGTGGATGTGAGTGGAAAGTAAGGTAAGCCAAACCAAGCAAAGAAGCACAAGTTAGAAATGAACCCTAAGTGATGCCTAATTGCTCAAGCAAGAACCTGGGTGGATATGGTCCAGCTTGATATGGCCTGGGGCTGAGTGGGCCACTTCTGCACAGGTCTTCCCTCTGCCTGTGTCTCCCACAGCTCTCACTCCCTGTTGCCCTACAAGGTCCCTGGTCTGTGCCTCCACGCTACCTCCACAGCCCCCATAGGTTGAGCAGCTTAGCCAGAGGCGCCTAGGGAAGACTCCCCACCAACGTCTGAACAGCTGCTGGTATTGAAGGTGGCTTCCCTTCCACCCTTCAACTTATCAGCTTCTCACAGCCCTTACACAGGTCTCCAGAAGTGGGGTGGGCAGCTCATACCTTGATTTCCCATTCCCTTTCCACTCTCAGGCCTCCTCCTTCACCCCAGGGGAGCTGAGAGAACAGAGAGGAGGGATGGTCCCTGGAGAAGACCTCCCCAGTGAGGCAGAGGTTGTCTGCTGGCCTGAAATTTGGGAAGTAGTGGGGACAGGCAGTGGGGCTGTCAGGAGGGAAGTTTCTGTGTTTTGCCCTCTCTTTTTAAAAAATGTACTTGGGACACTGGGAGAAATGGGGGGAAGGGTGCAGACAGGAAAGGGGGGTTGGAAACAATCCAAAACGTAGCAACTGTCCATCTGCTTGCTGCATTCCTAATGTGGGACTCACTCTTGTCTGCTCCCCTTAGCAAAGGAAAGAGGAGGGGCACCGCTGGCAGCCTCAAAGACTTCAGATAGAGCAGTGGTTCTCAACCTGTGGGTCGCGACCCCTTTGGCGGTCGAACAACCCTTTCACAGGGGTCGCCTAAGACCATCCTGCATATCAGATATTTACATTACGATTCATAACAGTAGCAACATTACAGTTATGAAGTAGCAACGAAAATAATTTTATGGTTGGGTCACAACATGAGGAACTGTATTTAAAGGGCCAGAAGGTTGAGAACCACTGAGAAAGATTATTTAGACCTGGGCCTTTGGGGTGGAGAGGGAGGTTGGGGAGGGTCTTGGTTGCAATGGCCCTAAGAAACCTGCACAAATTTGACTTGTTACACAGAAGCCAGGGACTTTTAAGAGCCCCCCCACCCCGCCCCGCCAATTGACCTACATTTCCCTGGCAGGGATAGTCATGGCAGGGATAGTCAACCCCAAACAGGTCCCCTCCTGTTCTACAATGACTTTGGCATACAAACACCAATGTAGCTGTAAAAGAGTTAACATTCTGTAAATAACCCTGGTTAAATTAGCAGGTTAGTCTCATGGGTTCAGGTCAGTCTTGGGAACCTCCAAGCCTCACAAGGGAGCAAGCCCTGCCTTTGCCTCTACCGCTGTGGTGTGAAAGCAGCCCTAAGTCTGAGTATGGCTGTCTTCCAATCAAACATTATGTAGCAACACTTACATTTGAATTTCATATGATTTTCATGTGTCGCGAAATACTAACCATCCTTTTCTTGACTGTTCTTTTAAAAATTATTATTAATATGAAATTATTATTATCATGAAATCTATCCTCTTAACAAATTTTAAGTGTACCATACATTATTGTCCACTGTAAGTCTTTTCTTTTCTTTTTTTTTATAACACTTTAAAAAATGTAAAAGCTATTCTTAGTTCTCAAGCCATACAAAAATGGATGGTGGGCCAGAATTGGCCCGTGGGCCGTGGTTTGCCAGCCTCTGGTCTAGAAAACTCGGTCCAGGGCAGCCAGCTTGGAAGATTCTGTTTCAGCATTAGCTGCCAAGGAGCAAGGACAATAAAATCTGTGTCTGTGAACCCGAGAGCTCCTAGAGAGGAATCCCTAATCATTTCTGTTCTTTCTCACTCTGTCAATGAAGCCCCCCCTTTTTTTAGTTCCACATGAAAAGAGTCAATGAAGTTTCACTTTGTATTGTGTAAGAGTGCAATAGAAGTGTACCAGCAATTCTGTGGCAGGCAGAGCAGTGCCAAAAGGAGACGCTGGGAACCAACAGCCTTGGAGCTGTTCAGGGCAGAGTCCGGTCCTACCATTTCACAGAATGCAGTTCCCCAATGTGCCACGGTGCTCACTGAGGCAGGCAGATGGGTCCTTGCTGCCTGCTCTTTAGGAAGGTATAGAACTGGAGAAATCCTCTTGTGTGCTCAATCCCATCTCCTCTGCTCCCTGCAGGCACCAGTGGTTTCCAGCATGGCACCGTGAGCCTTGAGTTCCTTTTGGGCGCACATTTCCTGACCTCAGCGCCTTGATTCCTTTTCCTTTTCCTTCAAGAAGGTAAGGCCATCCGTCGCTGTTCGCAAAGCAGATTTGAAATGGAAATCTCCCTTTACCTTTTCTACCATGACCTGTTGGCTCCTCGTCTTCCACTGGTGTCAGAGGCTGGCATCCTCCAAGCACACCCACTCAGCTGGGCCGCACCTTGAGCGGATTTGCATTACTGGGTTCAGCTCCACGTTACTAAGAGTCTCTTTGGAAATGGCTGGCTGGTCGCCACTGAGCTGCTTGAATTTCCGTCAATGACGTACCTGTGCAGAGAATCCTAGCTGATAGGAGGGAGGGATTGGGCCGGTGAGCATCTGGGGCTTGAGCTTCCTGCCACCCCTCAGATGCTCTTCCACATGGACAAACAGGTGTTCTTGTGGGCAGGAGCCGCATATCGCAGGTTAATTTGTTTCTTTAAGGTTGTTCTTGTCAAGCCCAGAACAACTCAACAGCCACCCCCCCACTTTTAAAAAAAGTTCTTAAGACCGTCTTTACCATCTTTACATTCAGCAACACTGAGCAAATAGTTCTCCGAAGCCACCTCCTGCTTAAAGCTTCTGGATCTCAGCTCATGCTGTTCCAGGCTGTTCCCTCTGCCTAGAATGCATCACTTCACAAAGAAAGCCTTCCCTTACCCCGCCCCTGTCAGCAGAACTAAATGCCCTTCCTCTCTGCTCCCTCTACATAGCTGATCTTGCACTTCTTCCATACCTAGCACAAGCCCTTCATCGGCCACATTGCAAGGTAAAACCCACCATAAGCTAATCACAGCTGGCGTAAAGCTGGACAAAAAAGTCAACAGTGATTAAGAAGAGCACTTGCAATACGGTTTTACAGCCTCTAGCCTTAATGATGAGCTTCCCTAAAGGTGTACAGCGGGCCTTTAAAAAGTAGCCTCTGTGGAAAACAGTATGGCGTTTCCTCAGAAAGTTAAAAGTGGAACTTCCATTTGACCCAGTAATCCCAATTCTAGGAATATATTCCAAGAAAACAGAAACACCAATCAAAAAGGATATATGCACCCTTATGTTCATAGCAGCACAATTTACAATAGCTAAGATTTGGAAACAACCTAAGTGCCCATCTGCAGATGAGTGGACTAGAAAACTGTGGTACAGCTACACAATGGAATACTACGCTGCTGTAAAAAAGAAGGAATTCTTACCATTTGCAGTAGCATGGATGGAACTGGAGAGCATTATGCTAAGTGAAATAAGCCAGTCAGAGAAAGATAAATATCATATGATCTCACTCATTTGTGGAATATAATGAACAACATAAACTGATGAACAAAAATAGAACCAGAGTCATAGAAGCATGGAACAGACTGTCCAACTTATGAAGGAAGGCAGGGGGTGAGGGGGTAAGAGATCGACCAAAGGACTTGTATGCATGCATATGAGCATAACCAATGGACACAGATGGGGGGAGGGGGGGAGTGAGGGCATGCGCTGGGGGTTGGGGGTGACCTGGGAGAGGTCAATGGAGGAAAAAGGAGATTTATGTAATATTTTAAACAATAAAGAATTTAAATTTAAAAAATTATCTCAAAAAAGTTGAAAATTAAAAAAGACATGGGGGGTGCTGGGTAGAGGTGGGAAACGGTGGGGAGAGAACATCTGTAATAGTGTCAACAATAAATAAATAAGACGCCGAAACCGGTTTGGCTCAGTGGATAGAGCGTCGGCCTGCGGACTGAGAGGTCCCAGGTTTGATTCCGGTCAAGGGCATGTACCTGGGTTGCAGGCACATCCCCAGTGCGGGGCGTGCAGGAGGCAGCTGATCGATGTTTCTCATCGATGTTTCTAACTCTCTATCTCTCTCCCTTCCTCTCTGTAAAAAATCAATAAAATATAAAAATAAATAAATAAATAAATAAATAAGACATTGAAGCTTGAAAAAAAAGGTAGCCTCAAATAGTTTGAGGCCACTACGATTTGTATGACATTTAAAACTCTCACTTCCAGACCATGTTAGTTGTAATATTGTGTTAGCAGATACAAAAATAACTTTCGAATTATTGATAAATAAATCATTTTAGAATATGTTTGTATCTCATTATTACAAGATCTTAATGTTTGTAGCTGTCTTGTAATGAAGTATTAATATATATAGACCATTGAGAATAGTGCATGGTATGTCATAAGCAGTAAGTGTTAATCACTTCTAAATGGACAGACAAAAATTTAGGTGTTTTTTTTATACACACATATGATCCATACAGAACATTTTTTTTCCGAGGTATGAACATTAAAAAACATTTTGATGTTCTGTACTGTAATTTCCTGGAGAGGCAGAAAGCACATCTCAACTATCTTTTATTTTCCTAAGCATATAGCAAGGTGCTGGGCTTACAGAACTGAACTTGACCCTGAGCTTGCCACAGTGTGTGAGCTGGCCTCTGCGCTAAGTTTATATAGACGGTGAATAGGTCATAAACAGAGGACAGCTTTAGAAGTGAAAAGGTGTAAAACTGACAGACTGCTGCTGTGGGGGGACTGGGACAGGATTCAGTGGGCATGCTTGCTTTCTGTGGGGCAGCAGCGGAAAGCTGGCCTGACCGCCGGCCTTTCCAGCCGTGAGGGAAGGTCCTCCTCTCTCTCTGTTTCCCCAGGGACCCTGCTTTCGGTCTGCCCAGCCTGGAGCAGCCGGCTGTTCTCCTCACCTCCTGCCTCTGGGCAAGAAGGTTGTTGAGCTGTAAAAAAAAGGTCTTTTCCATTTAGCTCAGTTGTAACAACATAACAACTGAGACTTTTGTTTTCTTTCCTTTTTTAATGCTTCCTTCCACTTATTTTTATTAATACTTTTTCATAGATGTTACCAATTCTGTATTTGGTATTCTGTATACCCTAGCTTAATTAAAAAAAAATTAAAAAGATTTTGACCCCTTTTACTCATTTCTTTCACCCCCACTCCCGCCTCTGGCAATCACAAATCTATTCTCTGCATCTGTAAACATGTTTTTTTTGTTGTTGTTTTTTAAAAAAATTCAATTATATATATATATATATATATATATATATATATATATATGAAAGATCATAGGTATTTGTCTTTCTCTGTCTGACATTTCACTTAGCATAATGCCTTTGAAGTCTATTCATGTAGCAAATGACAAGATTTCATTTTTATGACTGAATAATAATCCATTGAATATATATACTATAATTTCTTTTTATTTTATTTATTTTAGATAGAGAGGAGGGAAGAGAGAGAGAGAGAGAGAGAGAGAGAGATAAACATCGATTTGTTGTCTACTTATTTATGCACTCATTGGTTGATTCTTGTATGAGGCTATTGTAAGTGGAATTATTTTCTCAGTTTCCTTTTCTGATTGTTTGGTGGCAGTATAAAGAAACACAACTGTTTTTTTATTTTGTATCCTACAACTTTGCTGAATTTGTTTATTAGCACTAATAATTTTTCTGTGAATGCTTTAGGGTTTTAGAGATAGTTTTGCTTTTCCACCTAGGATACCTTTTATTTCTTCTTCTTCTTTTTAAAATCTAATTGTTCTGTCTAGAACTTCTAATATGTTGACTAGAAGTGGCAAAAGTGGGCATTCTTGTCTTGTTCTTGATCTTAGGGGGAAAGCTTTCAGTCTTTTGCCATTGAGGATGATGTTTTTCAGACAAAGCCTTTATCATGTTGAGGAAGTTCCCTTCTATATCTAGCTTGTTGCCTTTTTATTATGAAAAGGTATTGGATGTTTTAAACATTAAATGTTTTCTGCATCAGTTGAGATGATCATGTGGTTTCTCCCCTTCATTCTATTAATATCACACATTACATTGATTTCATATGTTGCATTCCTAGGACAAATATCACTTGGACATACTGTATAATCCTTTTAATATGCTGCTGAATTCGGTTTGCTACTATTTTGTTGAGGATTTTTTGCATCTATAGTCACAAGGGACATTAATCTATAGTTTCTTTCCTGGTAGTATTTTTATCTGGCATTAATATCAAGGTAATGCTGGCCTCATAGGATGAGTTTTTTGAAGAGTTTGAGAAGAATGGGGATTAATTATTCTTTTTCTTTTTTAAAAAAAATCCTCACCTGAGGATATTTTCCCATTGGTTTTAGGGAGAGTGGAAGAGAGAGGGAAAGACAGAGAGAAATATTGATGTGAGAGAAACACATTGATTGGTTGCCTCCTGCATGAGCCCTGACTAGGGCCTGGGCCGGGGATGAGCCTGCAATGGAGGTAAGCGCCCTTGACTGGAATCTAACCCGGGAACCTTCAGTCTGCAGGAAGACACTCTACCCACTGAGCCAAACCGGCTAGGGCAGGCTGAATTCTTCTTTAAAGTTTGGTAGAATTCACCAGTGGAGCCATGTGGGTTTTTTCTTTGTTGGGAGGTTTTGATTACTGATTTAATTTCTTTACTTGTTATAGATCTATTACAATTTTCTGTTTCTTTTTGAGTCAGTTTAGGTAGAAATTTGTATTTCTAGGGATTTGCCCAGGTATTGTAGATTATCCATTTGGTTGGTGTAGAATAGTTTATATTATTTTTTTACATTCCTTTAAAAAAATCTTTATTGTTGAAAGTTTTACCTATGTCCGTCCTCTTTTTCCCCCATGGACCCCTTATAGCCCACCCCTGTATAATCCTTTTTATCTCTGTAAAGTTGGTAATTATGTCCTTTCTTTTACTTCTCCTTTTAGTAATTTGAGTCTTTTGTTTTCTCTTAGTCAAGGTGCAAGCACTTTCATTGCATTACTTTGGGAGGCATGTAGAGTCCGGCTGTCTCTCTTCTGGTGACATTAAAATTGATCAGTGCGGTTTGGGTGTTGTCAGCCTGCTCCACTCATCATAAAACTCTCTTTTAGCTTTCGCCTAATGGTTTCTGTAGCTTTTGACGACCGTTGCCACATCTACTATTTCATAGGGGGGTGCTAAAGCTTTAAAGAACATGTTTTAATGAACTCAGATACGCCAAGACACAGGAAAGATGTATTTTCAATATCCAGCTTCCTGGTTCCGAAGACCGGTCTGACAGAAAGGGAGACATCCGGTAGCCAAGAGCACGGAGACTGGCACGTTGCTAAGATCTCAGGCAAATCCCTCGGCTCTTAGCTTCAATCTACAGAAGTAGAGCCCTGGGCGAGATGACCTCTCAGCTCCTCACAGCTCCGACTCTCCAGAGGCCATTATGTTAATTCAGAATGTAAGCACAGTGCTGACCGGTCAGCCTAGCTTTCAAGACACCTAAAGTCCCCCCACCCCCCAATTTTACCAAAAATGTCCTTTGTTTTAAGGTTTCATGCAAGAATTCTGGTCCAATTCATTGCACTTCAGTGGTGATACTGATCATGAGACATCACCCCAGACAAGCTGCTCAAAGGGACCATCCATCTCCTTTATGGAAGGGCTCATGCCCCCAAACACTGCCCATACTCCGGCTGTGCAGAAAGAAATATCTCCTATTCTCCCAAAAGCGTCTAGTGTCCTCACACTCTGTCTGCCTTGGGCAAACTCTTCTCAGGAAAGGTCTTGTGAATTCATCCATCCTAAGGTGTAATCGACGGAGACATTCCATTTCAGAGGTCCTTTCACTTGAATACGAAATAAAAATTTCAGGAAAAGCCACGAATGTATAATTGTGGAATTTTAAGGATAATTTTTTTGTTAATCCTCACCCAAGGACACTTTTCCCATTGCTTTTCAGAGACAGAGTGGAAAGGAGGGGGAGGTGAGAGAGAGAGAGAGAAAAAAAACAACATAGATGTGAGAGACACATCGATTGGTTGCCTCTCATATGCACCCCAACCAGAGGTGGGGCATGAACCTGCAACCCGGGTATGTGCCCTTGACCAGGAATTGAACCTCAGACCCTTTGATGTGTGGACTGGTGCTCTAACCACTGAGAAACACTGGCCAGGGCAAGGATAATTTCTTTTCTTGGAGGAAAACATCTTTCTATCTCCCTTAAATCATATGCTACATCATCCTTAAAACAGCATGCCTGACAATGGTCCTA